AAAAAAAAAAAAAAAAAAAAAAAAAAAAAAAAAAAAAAAAAAAAAAAAAAAAAAAAAAAAAAAAAAAAAAAAAAAAAAAAAAAAAAAAAAAAAAAAAAAAAAAAAAAAAAAAAAAAAAAAAAAAAAAAAAAAAAAAAAAAAAAAAAAAAAAAAAAAAAAAAAAAAAAAAAAAAAAAAAAAAAAAAAAAAAAAAAAAAAAAAAAAAAAAAAAAAAAAAAAAAAAAAAAAAAAAAAAAAAAAAAAAAAAAAAAAAAAAAAAAAAAAAAAAAAAAAAAAAAAAAAAAAAAAAAAAAAAAAAAAAAAAAAAAAAAAAAAAAAAAAAAAAAAAAAAAAAAAAAAAAAAAAAAAAAAAAAAAAAAAAAAAAAAAAAAAAAAAAAAAAAAAAAAAAAAAAAAAAAAAAAAAAAAAAAAAAAAAAAAAAAAAAAAAAAAAAAAAAAAAAAAAAAAAAAAAAAAAAAAAAAAAAAAAAAAAAAAAAAAAAAAAAAAAAAAAAAAAAAAAAAAAAAAAAAAAAAAAAAAAAAAAAAAAAAAAAAAAAAAAAAAAAAAAAAAAAAAAAAAAAAAAAAAAAAAAAAAAAAAAAAAAAAAAAAAAAAAAAAAAAAAAAAAAAAAAAAAAAAAAAAAAAAAAAAAAAAAAAAAAAAAAAAAAAAAAAAAAAAAAAAAAAAAAAAAAAAAAAAAAAAAAAAAAAAAAAAAAAAAAAAAAAAAAAAAAAAAAAAAAAAAAAAAAAAAAAAAAAAAAAAAAAAAAAAAAAAAAAAAAAAAAAAAAAAAAAAAAAAAAAAAAAAAAAAAAAAAAAAAAAAAAAAAAAAAAAAAAAAAAAAAAAAAAAAAAAAAAAAAAAAAAAAAAAAAAAAAAAAAAAAAAAAAAAAAAAAAAAAAAAAAAAAAAAAAAAAAAAAAAAAAAAAAAAAAAAAAAAAAAAAAAAAAAAAAAAAAAAAAAAAAAAAAAAAAAAAAAAAAAAAAAAAAAAAAAAAAAAAAAAAAAAAAAAAAAAAAAAAAAAAAAAAAAAAAAAAAAAAAAAAAAAAAAAAAAAAAAAAAAAAAAAAAAAAAAAAAAAAAAAAAAAAAAAAAAAAAAAAAAAAAAAAAAAAAAAAAAAAAAAAAAAAAAAAAAAAAAAAAAAAAAAAAAAAAAAAAAAAAAAAAAAAAAAAAAAAAAAAAAAAAAAAAAAAAAAAAAAAAAAAAAAAAAAAAAAAAAAAAAAAAAAAAAAAAAAAAAAAAAAAAAAAAAAAAAAAAAAAAAAAAAAAAAAAAAAAAAAAAAAAAAAAAAAAAAAAAAAAAAAAAAAAAAAAAAAAAAAAAAAAAAAAAAAAAAAAAAAAAAAAAAAAAAAAAAAAAAAAAAAAAAAAAAAAAAAAAAAAAAAAAAAAAAAAAAAAAAAAAAAAAAAAAAAAAAAAAAAAAAAAAAAAAAAAAAAAAAAAAAAAAAAAAAAAAAAAAAAAAAAAAAAAAAAAAAAAAAAAAAAAAAAAAAAAAAAAAAAAAAAAAAAAAAAAAAAAAAAAAAAAAAAAAAAAAAAAAAAAAAAAAAAAAAAAAAAAAAAAAAAAAAAAAAAAAAAAAAAAAAAAAAAAAAAAAAAAAAAAAAAAAAAAAAAAAAAAAAAAAAAAAAAAAAAAAAAAAAAAAAAAAAAAAAAAAAAAAAAAAAAAAAAAAAAAAAAAAAAAAAAAAAAAAAAAAAAAAAAAAAAAAAAAAAAAAAAAAAAAAAAAAAAAAAAAAAAAAAAAAAAAAAAAAAAAAAAAAAAAAAAAAAAAAAAAAAAAAAAAAAAAAAAAAAAAAAAAAAAAAAAAAAAAAAAAAAAAAAAAAAAAAAAAAAAAAAAAAAAAAAAAAAAAAAAAAAAAAAAAAAAAAAAAAAAAAAAAAAAAAAAAAAAAAAAAAAAAAAAAAAAAAAAAAAAAAAAAAAAAAAAAAAAAAAAAAAAAAAAAAAAAAAAAAAAAAAAAAAAAAAAAAAAAAAAAAAAAAAAAAAAAAAAAAAAAAAAAAAAAAAAAAAAAAAAAAAAAAAAAAAAAAAAAAAAAAAAAAAAAAAAAAAAAAAAAAAAAAAAAAAAAAAAAAAAAAAAAAAAAAAAAAAAAAAAAAAAAAAAAAAAAAAAAAAAAAAAAAAAAAAAAAAAAAAAAAAAAAAAAAAAAAAAAAAAAAAAAAAAAAAAAAAAAAAAAAAAAAAAAAAAAAAAAAAAAAAAAAAAAAAAAAAAAAAAAAAAAAAAAAAAAAAAAAAAAAAAAAAAAAAAAAAAAAAAAAAAAAAAAAAAAAAAAAAAAAAAAAAAAAAAAAAAAAAAAAAAAAAAAAAAAAAAAAAAAAAAAAAAAAAAAAAAAAAAAAAAAAAAAAAAAAAAAAAAAAAAAAAAAAAAAAAAAAAAAAAAAAAAAAAAAAAAAAAAAAAAAAAAAAAAAAAAAAAAAAAAAAAAAAAAAAAAAAAAAAAAAAAAAAAAAAAAAAAAAAAAAAAAAAAAAAAAAAAAAAAAAAAAAAAAAAAAAAAAAAAAAAAAAAAAAAAAAAAAAAAAAAAAAAAAAAAAAAAAAAAAAAAAAAAAAAAAAAAAAAAAAAAAAAAAAAAAAAAAAAAAAAAAAAAAAAAAAAAAAAAAAAAAAAAAAAAAAAAAAAAAAAAAAAAAAAAAAAAAAAAAAAAAAAAAAAAAAAAAAAAAAAAAAAAAAAAAAAAAAAAAAAAAAAAAAAAAAAAAAAAAAAAAAAAAAAAAAAAAAAAAAAAAAAAAAAAAAAAAAAAAAAAAAAAAAAAAAAAAAAAAAAAAAAAAAAAAAAAAAAAAAAAAAAAAAAAAAAAAAAAAAAAAAAAAAAAAAAAAAAAAAAAAAAAAAAAAAAAAAAAAAAAAAAAAAAAAAAAAAAAAAAAAAAAAAAAAAAAAAAAAAAAAAAAAAAAAAAAAAAAAAAAAAAAAAAAAAAAAAAAAAAAAAAAAAAAAAAAAAAAAAAAAAAAAAAAAAAAAAAAAAAAAAAAAAAAAAAAAAAAAAAAAAAAAAAAAAAAAAAAAAAAAAAAAAAAAAAAAAAAAAAAAAAAAAAAAAAAAAAAAAAAAAAAAAAAAAAAAAAAAAAAAAAAAAAAAAAAAAAAAAAAAAAAAAAAAAAAAAAAAAAAAAAAAAAAAAAAAAAAAAAAAAAAAAAAAAAAAAAAAAAAAAAAAAAAAAAAAAAAAAAAAAAAAAAAAAAAAAAAAAAAAAAAAAAAAAAAAAAAAAAAAAAAAAAAAAAAAAAAAAAAAAAAAAAAAAAAAAAAAAAAAAAAAAAAAAAAAAAAAAAAAAAAAAAAAAAAAAAAAAAAAAAAAAAAAAAAAAAAAAAAAAAAAAAAAAAAAAAAAAAAAAAAAAAAAAAAAAAAAAAAAAAAAAAAAAAAAAAAAAAAAAAAAAAAAAAAAAAAAAAAAAAAAAAAAAAAAAAAAAAAAAAAAAAAAAAAAAAAAAAAAAAAAAAAAAAAAAAAAAAAAAAAAAAAAAAAAAAAAAAAAAAAAAAAAAAAAAAAAAAAAAAAAAAAAAAAAAAAAAAAAAAAAAAAAAAAAAAAAAAAAAAAAAAAAAAAAAAAAAAAAAAAAAAAAAAAAAAAAAAAAAAAAAAAAAAAAAAAAAAAAAAAAAAAAAAAAAAAAAAAAAAAAAAAAAAAAAAAAGAAAAAAAAAAAAAAAAAAAAAAAAAAAAAAAAAAAAAAAAAAAAAAAAAAAAAAAAAAAAAAAAAAAAAAAAAAAAAAAAAAAAAAAAAAAAAAAAAAAAAAAAAAAAAAAAAAAAAAAAAAAAAAAAAAAAAAAAAAAAAAAAAAAAAAAAAAAAAAAAAAAAAAAAAAAAAAAAAAAAAAAAAAAAAAAAAAAAAAAAAAAAAAAAAAAAAAAAAAAAAAAAAAAAAAAAAAAAAAAAAAAAAAAAAAAAAAAAAAAAAAAAAAAAAAAAAAAAAAAAAAAAAAAAAAAAAAAAAAAAAAAAAAAAAAAAAAAAAAAAAAAAAAAAAAAAAAAAAAAAAAAAAAAAAAAAAAAAAAAAAAAAAAAAAAAAAAAAAAAAAAAAAAAAAAAAAAAAAAAAAAAAAAAAAAAAAAAAAAAAAAAAAAAAAAAAAAAAAAAAAAAAAAAAAAAAAAAAAAAAAAAAAAAAAAAAAAAAAAAAAAAAAAAAAAAAAAAAAAAAAAAAAAAAAAAAAAAAAAAAAAAAAAAAAAAAAAAAAAAAAAAAAAAAAAAAAAAAAAAAAAAAAAAAAAAAAAAAAAAAAAAAAAAAAAAAAAAAAAAAAAAAAAAAAAAAAAAAAAAAAAAAAAAAAGAAAAAAAAAAAAAAAAAAAAAAAAAAAAAAAAAAAAAAAAAAAAAAAAAAAAAAAAAAAAAAAAAAAAAAAAAAAAAAAAAAAAAAAAAAAAAAAAAAAAAAAAAAAAAAAAAAAAAAAAAAAAAAAAAAAAAAAAAAAAAAAAAAAAAAAAAAAAAAAAAAAAAAAAAAAAAAAAAAAAAAAAAAAAAAAAAAAAAAAAAAAAAAAAAAAAAAAAAAAAAAAAAAAAAAAAAAAAAAAAAAAAAAAAAAAAAAAAAAAAAAAAAAAAAAAAAAAAAAAAAAAAAAAAAAAAAAAAAAAAAAAAAAAAAAAAAAAAAAAAAAAAAAAAAAAAAAAAAAAAAAAAAAAAAAAAAAAAAAAAAAAAAAAAAAAAAAAAAAAAAAAAAAAAAAAAAAAAAAAAAAAAAAAAAAAAAAAAAAAAAAAAAAAAAAAAAAAAAAAAAAAAAAAAAAAAAAAAAAAAAAAAAAAAAAAAAAAAAAAAAAAAAAAAAAAAAAAAAAAAAAAAAAAAAAAAAAAAAAAAAAAAAAAAAAAAAAAAAAAAAAAAAAAAAAAAAAAAAAAAAAAAAAAAAAAAAAAAAAAAAAAAAAAAAAAAAAAAAAAAAAAAAAAAAAAAAAAAAAAAAAAAAAAAAAAAAAAAAAAAAAAAAAAAAAAAAAAAAAAAAAAAAAAAAAAAAAAAAAAAAAAAAAAAAAAAAAAAAAAAAAAAAAAAAAAAAAAAAAAAAAAAAAAAAAAAAAAAAAAAAAAGAAAAAAAAAAAAAAAAAGAAGATGATGGAGCACTATTCCCCCACTGACACCAATGATGGGGCACTATTCCTCCCACTGACACAATGATGGGGCACTATTCCCCCCACTGACACCAATGATGGGGCACTATTTCCTCCCACTGACACCAATGATGGGGCACTATTCCTCCCACTGATACCAATGATGGGGCACTATTCCTCCCACTGACACCAATGATGGGGCACTATTCCTCCCACTGACACCAACGATGGGGCACTATTCCTCCCACTTGATACCAACGATGGGACACTATTCCTCCCACTGCAAAATTACAGTTCTGAAGTACTGCTCTAGGCAGCAGACAGCCATGGGACCTGGTTACTGCAGAATATGTTGAAAGTCTTCAGTGTGCCACCGCTGCTCTTCCTTTCAACCTACAGGAGTCTCCAAACCTTGTTGCCAGTGAAATTGTATTCTGCTAGCCTCTGGAAAGCAGGCTAACAGGTTTCTCTGTGACACTTCCTCCAGGTGTGTCATATTTTGCTTTATCTGCAATGGAAGGGTGGCCTCTGCTTATTTCCTACTGTAACAAGGATCCAGAAGGGTTGCTGGTTCCTCTCCACATCTCTCCACAAATCATGGGGTCCTTCCACAAGCACTTTAGCAGGAAGGATCCCAACCGTCATAAATTACTGGAGGCAGAGGAACTCGAGTACTTGGGGTCACTGAGGACAACATTGTTCTCAGCAATCTGTCCCTAACTAAGTACAAGTCTAATGGTTAGATAAGGAAGAAAACCAACCTTGGAAGCCTGCCCTGTGTTTTCTGCCCCTCAGTCAGGCCATGGCAACCATACACCTCCTACTCCTCCACCTCATGCCCCTCCTGTGCCTGCTGTAACCTCACAGAGAAGGAGTCTGGAGAAAGCAAGCCATGAGATATCAGGCAGTACTCCTCTTCTTCCTGCTGCTGGGTCTCAAGTACCCACTCTAATATTCCACAATGTATCTGTTCCAGCAGCAACACTTGATCACCATGATGTCCAAATTCTCATGTTTCATTATTCTGGTTACCTCCTCAGATTGGAACAATATGGTGCATGCATTCTGAATGAGGAGCCATTGATGTGAGGGAAAAAAACTCACCTGATCCTGTCTTTGTGTCATAGTTGCACAGGTACTCATTTATGGCTCGCTGATGCTTGTGCAGTTGCAGCAGCATAGCCAAGGGTTAGTTTCATCAAGCCACATATCAGGTGGTATGCAAACAGATGGAGTTTATGCTGAATTTCACCCAACTAAACCCTGGCTATGTATGAAATGGTTAAACGTTTTTCTTTCCTGCCTAAGGTCTTAGTCAGGATACTTGGCTAGGAACTGCTGCACCACCAGGTTAAGAACATGTACAGTACCATACAAGGCAAGAGGGTGAACTCTCCCTGTTGAACAGACAGCCGGTTGGTGCTTTGTCACACATCCTTTCCTGACACAAGATGGCATGGGGTTAATCACCCCTGGGCATGCCCACACAAAGCTAACAGAATCTCTGCTCAAGTGTAGCTCCTGTCCACTAGACATATTTTGTTTGAGCTTTCGTAAAGTCTCTTGAATGTTTGGGCTGGGGGATTGGTGTTTGTTAGGATGAATAACTTAAAGAGGGAATTGAATAGGAGGAGGAGGGAATTGAGGTGACTGATCTGTCACTGTCACCATGTGTCAGGTTGCATGGCAGCACAATGAGCTCCAGGGGTGTGTCCCATTCTTTATCCCTTCTGGCTGCCAGCAAAGTGACCAAGTGGGCAATGAATGCATATAATGTTTCTGCCCATACTTGCTAGATCATATGTCTGTGGTCATGTGAACCCTGCAGCTGACCACATGATCCACTGGTGTAGAAACATTACCTTCCATATGATGGTGGAGGGTAAGGATGGCCTTATAGGTAAAAAAAAAAATATCAGCCTGGAAATCTACCATTGTGGTACAGCACAGGACACAAAACCGCAAAAGAGAAAATAATCTACCAGCTGGAATGGCAGAAGCTGCAAAGCCAGCAATTTTGCCAAGCTGGCATTGAATCTTTGGGCTTGGGGGTGGCTGGGTGTATACTTCTTCTTTTGTTCTAGCAACTTGGACAAAGAAACCTATAAGACAAAAACAAAATTAACCAATTGCCTTCCAGAGGATTTACCCCCCTCCTTCCTGACCAAGCCATTTTTTTGCAATATGGCACTGCATTACTTTAACTGAAAATTGTACACGCTGCACCCAAATGAAATTTTTGTCCTTTTTTTTCACACAAATGGAGCTTTTTTTTGGTGGATTTTGAACGCCTGTGCGTATTTAATTCTTTGTGTTATAAACAAATTTCATCATAAATTAAGGCCAAAATGTATTCTGCTACATGTCTTTGCTAAAAAAAAAAAATTCCAATACATGTAAATTAATTGGATTCCGTGAAAGTTATAGCAACTACAAATGGCGGTGTAAACACTGGAATTTTAATTTTTTTTATACTATTCATGGTGCTGATCAGCGACTTACAGTGGGACTGTGGCGGGCAATCTGACACTGGGGCGGAACTGACTGTCACTGACATCCGCAGTGACATTAATACAGTGATCAGTGCTAAAAAAGCACTGACACTGTACTAGTGACACTGGGCAGGAAGGGGTTAACATCTGGGGTGATCAAAGGGTTTATGCTGAATTTCACCCAACAAAACCCTGGCTATGTATGAAATGGTTAAACGTTTTTCTTTCCTGCCTAAGGTCTTAGTCAGGATACTTGGCTAGGAACTGCTGCACCACCAGGTTAAGAACATGTACAGTACCATACAAGGCAAGAGGGTGAACTCTCCCTGTTGAACAGACAGCCGGTTGGTGCTTTGTCACACATCCTTTCCTGACACAAGATGGCATTGGATTACGTGAAAGTTATAGCAACTACAAATGGCGGTGTAAACACTGGAATTTTAAATTTTTTTTATACTATTCATGGTGCTGATCAGCGACTTACAGTGGGACTGTGGCGGGCATTCTGACACTGGGGCAGAACTGACTGTCACTGACAGCTGCAGTGACATTAATACAGTGATCAGTGCTAAAAAAGCACTGACACTGTACTAGTGACACTGGGCAGGAAGGGGTTAACATCTGGGGTGATCAAAGGGTTAACTGTGTGCTGTGTGTTTTACTGTGTGCTGTGTGCTGTGCTTTACTGTGTAAGCATGCTGCTTTGTATTGCTCTGCTATGCAGAGTAATACAAAGCAATGTGCTGGAGCTGACAGGGGAGAGATCTGTATTGTTTACATACAGACCTCTCCCTGTCAGTTATATTCGGCGATCGCTGGATGCCGGCGGCGAATCACCGGCCGTGACTGACAGCTGAAGCCGCCAATGGCTGCGTGGGTAGGGTGCGCGCACCTGCTACCCATAAATACAAAATCACGTATTTATACGTGATTTTGCGCAGCCCTGCCGCCCTATAGCAGTAGTTCTGCTATAGGGCGGTCGGAAAGCGGTTAAACACAAATAAAATAGCTCAAGGACCAAACATGTTTAAAAAAAGCTTAAAAAATAAAAACCAACCCTAAAACACTAACATCGAGGTTCTTCCCTGTCCCTTTTTAAAAAGAAAACAAAGCAAAAAAAACAAAATCAATTGAATACCCCCCAAGAAAAAGGTGGCGGGCAGAAGTATCATAGCAACAGATCTTTTCACTGACACATACAAAAAAAAGCAGTCCTACAAAGGGCTGTTGAGTCTTATCAAATCACACAGATTGCAGGTGGGCTTACACTCCACTTTTCTTAGCTCCACAAACTGCAATTCACTGCAACGTATTAATGGCAATATACAGCACTGAATACTGTATATAGCAGCACTGTATATCTCTATAGTAGCACTCTACACTAGTAATCTCTGTTGGCATTGGATCCATTAATAACATCATTTTTCCAAGCACAGTGAACAGATGTGGCTTCAGGCAGCAGTCACAGGCAGCTACTTTATGTTTGAAGACTACCTTGGATCTGATGCAGGCACACTCTGAAGTAAGAACCAAAGCCTTATGGACTATTGGGTGGCCAGGCTGGACTACTGGTCAGCGCTTGTACATTACATATTGGAGCTTCTGGCTTGCTCTACACCCAGTGTTCTGTCTGAAGGGGCCTATAGCATGGAATGTAGTTTGTTACAGAGAGACCACTCCATCTGTTCTGACAATGAGGACTGGTTTACTTTTATTAAAAAAATGAACCTGAATCATCAATGATTACAAATCCCCATGCATTCGTTGCTATCATCTAATCTTTTCTACCTGCTCCCACCAAAAAATGTAATTTCCACAATTACCAATTTAATTGCAAGAAAAAACTTGCCTTGCGCAATTTGATGTACAGTATGTTTATGTGTACTGTCTGAGGCTAGTAAATTCAAGCCAAACACATACCTGAAATATATTTTTAATATTTTGGGAATAATTAGGGATTCAGGAATAAGAAGATGCTCAGGGGATTTGAGGTTGTGGTTTTGAAGTGTGTTTGTGTGCTCTGATTTGACATTTCATTAACATTTAATACATTACAGTGTGGTACTGTGAAAAATAATCTCAAAAAGTACATTATAAATCTGTTTTACCACTGGCCAATTGTTATGAAGTTAAGGACTTTATCTTTATTTTTTTAAAGATAAAATTTAGAGGGAAATGCGAAGGTTGACATGGGGAAACCTAAGATCAGGATAAATAAATACACTAAATAAATCCTGTTGTGTTTTACAGTTTGTATATTCACATCAGTCCTTATGAATGAGTAACTCATACTCTACAGAGTGTATTTATTTATTATTTATTACAGGTACTTATATTGCGCCATCAATATACACAGTGCTTTGAATATAAATTGTATATTCGCATCAGTCCCTGTCCACAAAGAGCTTACAATCTAAGATCCTTAATTCTGCTGCATTTGAACTAACAGGATAATAGGAGACAGAAAAAAAACCTATACTTGTGGCATATGTATGTCAGGAATCAGCAGCAGAGATGGCGAAATCCACTTAGGTACACTTAGGTAACTGGGACCAGACTGTGCATGGCTTAAGTGGGATTTATTTACAGTGATACAAAATCAATCCATACACCAGCAAACATTATACACAGCAAACAAAGATACAAGGGAACCAAAAACCCAATAACAAATATCTAATT